TCTTAGTCAATTTTCCAACGCGCTCCGCACGTTTGCTGCAACCGCCACTTGTTCTTTGTGTAGCGTTATCTCTTTCCAGAGCTCCACAGAATCAAAACTTTATCAAAGACAACAAACCTCACGAAATTTTGTCATTAGTTGGCAAAACTGCCTATCAAAGCATTCTACGGTTTCTTTGCCTTTCATCTGAGCAAAGATCTCATTTGCGTACCTGAAAGGATTAAAAGAGATTATAGATCGATTAATTTAAGACACTAACCTTGTAGCAGCCAAGTCAAAATTTGCCACCATTGAAGCGATAGAGATGTCGATGCCACTGTTAGCAGTTGGATGTGTGACATCTATGCCAACATACATTACTGCTTCCTTCTTCTGCGCCGGCTCAGTGGACCTAGGATGGGCAGCATTTTTGTGTTCAAAGCAGAAATTGCCAAAATCCCAGGCTAATGCTGACTCATTGTTGAAAAGTACCGCTTGATTTACACCTCCAAGTTTAGCATTGATCTTCAGCGCGATATTGTAGTAGACAGTTCTAGAATCCAATTGTTAAAATCCTTTTTAAATAATTAAGAAGAAAGAGTTGGATTGTAGATGACAATTCTTACTTTTTCGTGCTGTTTACTGCCGATATCACAGTACGGGCGTCTATCACCTGACTAGCAACCCCGTATTTATTGTCACATATGGCTTTTATCAAACCTAAATAAGTAGAAATTTTGAAGTGCTGTTAATTGCCAATGCTGCATACCGTAAGCTCCTCCATGATAGATGGACAAGTCATTACGATCGTTAATAACCAGCAGTAGAAGAATTTTTGGAGATCCTCCTTCATCTCGCAATTTTTGAAATCGTTCTTTTGCATCAACTACAAACTTCTCAAAATTTCTAGAGCCCGTTTTTTGGTACACCTGAAAACAAAAAATTGTTCCAGAATCAATTCCTAAATGTCTGAATAACCCTACTCTAAGCGGCTGTTGCGCAATATTCAGTCCACGTTCTCGACATTTCTCCATCAAATCAGTGAAAAAAGTGCTAGAGAGAAGAATTCATTGTTCAAAAAATTAGATGAATATTTTACAACACTTACCTTACATACTCTACTTCACAAACGTTTTCTGGTGGGGAACTGCTTTCCCTAGCCATGATCACAACGGCACAATGAATCTCACCAGATGGAGGTTCTAAAAAAGATGGTATGAAGTAATGAATTCACCTTCTATAACTTTTCCATATCAGGCAAGACTGTTCAAGCATTCCCCCAGCCACTTGAAAAAAAATGTGGTAAGTTATGAACTAGATGAGGTTTAAGAGACAGCCATTAGCAATTTTGGGGAGCTTCAATCTTATCTTTTTCGATATATCTGAAAATGCTGCTGAATGTAAGATTTTGATTTGAGGGGATACGGCACAAATCGATGTTTGGGTCCTGAGATATAGGGGAAAAAAATGCTTGCTATTTCTGCTAGCTATGGGATTTTCCAGATAATGATCTTAAGAGAAGGCATTAGATTATATCCAGTGATGGTAGGTTAACGAAAATTGAATTTTCGGATAAGAAATGGTTCTTTGATCATAAAGCCAGGCATTTCAAAACTCCTAGACTCATAGACCTTTACTTTAGTCTTATCCGTCCAGGAAAAAAGCGAAATAATAAAAGCCGCCGAAAACCTATGTTGAAGATACATGTTTCGAACTTTACAGAAGAGAAGATAATCTAAAAAAAA